GACAATTATTTATACAAATAACTAATAATAATAATAATAAGAAGAAAAAAACGTAAAAAACATTCAAAGAAGGACAATTGTGATTTTTGGACGAAATCGCTTTCGGCGCGAATGAGTTAAAATAAAATAAGCTAACAGATGGAACAAGCAAAGCAAAAGTGCAAAGTGCAAAATGATCCCCCAGTCGAACTCGGCAGTATTTCAAACAAAAAAAATCCCAAAGACACTGAAATGCGTCATTTTTGGCTTTGGATGTACAGGACAGGACTTCTTGTGCAAAACTGATGCTACGTAAGGGAGACAAGCATTCTGCCCAAACCCAGGAAGAGCGAGAAAACCTCGGTGACGGCGAACCAAGTTTATTGGGAAGGACTTTTTCGCGCAAGCACTCCCAGCTTCGCATAAAGTTTTTTTAGGTTAGACTTCTCCTTTCCCGTCTCCGCCAAAAAGGTGATCAAGACCGCTGCTGATATACAGTTCTAATTTTAACAAACCATCCACGGCACAGGGAAACACAAAAAGGGCTCAAAATGTTACAACGTGATAAGACATCGGGCACTTCGGCGACAGGGTAGGGAGCATTTTGCAGTTTTGCTGCTTCCATTCAAGGTGACGAGCCATCTAGACAGCTATTTTATGATCTTTACCATGGTGACTTGATGAGCCTTGCTCCAGCTTCACAAGTTTCACCAAAGTGAGACTTTTAAGTCGGAACTAGTGAAGCAGCGAAGCAGTGCAAAATGCCTTCCCCCCACCCCCCGTCAAAGAACTGCGCCTAAGTAAACATATCCCAGTGGTTCCATGCATTTGTGGTTAGTTATACTTGAGGTGGGGGGGGGGAGGGCTTTCCAGTAAAATGAGCGGCGATAACTACAGCCGAAGAAATTCAAATTATTACTTTAACAACGTAAAGGTCCAAGAAAACCACAAGGTAAAGGAAACAAACGAACCTGTAATAACAGTTTTATTCGTTCAAGAGGAGCAACGGCCGTTTTTGAAACAGCTGCTGAAACGCCTCCAACAGCCAAATCAATAGCGAACTTGTTCATTTCACCCGTTCCAAGACGCCTAGACGGTCGTGACATCCTGAAATTTCCTATAAATTAATGAAACGAGCACCTGGGGCATAAGTTGTTAGCCACGATCATCGACTACACTCAAAAGCAAAAAGTAACAGCTGGCGCTGTAAACAGAAATGCCACCAACAGTTAGTGTCAGACATAACAAGATGGATATTTTTCACTCACTGGTCACAAGTTCAATTCAATGACATTCATGACGTTGTGAGCCATCGCTCACAATATCGTGCCTCGCTGAAAATCAATACCGAAACCAATTAATCAAGGGAAAGTAGCAAAAAACATGATGGATCCCAGCGTTAAATGATGTTTTACTTGATACATAACTCATCTTGACTAAAAATGTACGAAATATTGATCAGAACAGTCAATAAGCCATGCTTTCTGCTCGAACGGCGCAGCGCCTTTTTTCAACCCCTACCAGTTGTTATCCCTATCTGTCATCCATCATTAATATTCCCGTCACATCCCCCTATATCACCTGTTGGAGCCAACTTCCTGCTGCTGCTGCGGGTCGTGCCATGAATTCAGCTCCCCCCCTCCCTTCAAAGGGCCTCATCACGTCTTATCAGCTCTTATCCTCGGCCGTCATCCATCAATAATGTTCCCATCATATACGCTATTCCACCAAACTTCAACGCTGTTACGACGCGCGTTAATTTTGACAATCCTCTGGTTCCTTAGCGGATCTTATCAACCATTATCATTTCCTATCACCTAGCAATGACGCTTCTGGCTGAACTCCTTCATCCTTTCTAGTAATCAGTGCACCACTACCCTAGCAAGCGCGCTATGAATTTCGTGACAGACAGTACACACTTACAGACATACTTAACGGATTATACACATTAGTTCGCTGCGGGTGAAGGGGCGTATTAGGCAGTATGAATGTGCCACGGCGCCAAACCCTTTCTCTGCCCAGTTGTTGGAGTATGCGACAACAACTGGTAGAGCGATCGAACGAATACAGTCTTGTCAATTGCTGGTTTCAAAGTGTTGGATAACAGGTTTGGCTCCGCGCGAAAGACACGCCCATTTGTCTGCAGCGAACTAGATGATATGTAGTCCTTTATGGACTCGTTGGTCGATATTTTCTTGTTTACACTCATAGACATCGATTAATAAATAAATAAGTAAATGAACAAAGAGGGGCAGTGCTTATGCTATTCACCACTCAATAACTGGTTATTCGCGAAAAAGAAAGCGAAGATAGCGACCTAGAAAACCAAGAATTAATCAATGCTTAGCTAAGGCTGCGTTCTTACTTCGCGACTCAGTGTTCTGGAGAAAAAAGCTTTTGAGCGAAAAGGAAAGCATAGGTATCGATCGGCGCCAAAAAGGCGAATCCCTAAAATGGTGATTCTCCCAAAAATCGGCGAAACGCCGATTCTCTCAAAACGCTAGCGATCAGCGCCGATCGATATCTACGACATTCTCTCCGCTCAAAACACTAGTCCTCAAAAAAAAACGAAGAGTCGCAAAGTATGAGCGCAACCTAATCGTTTTCGCGAGTTCCCCGGTAATAAAACCGCTACCCAAGCTACCTTCCATGTGGCAGTATACTACCCTACTCTATTCTCTCAGGTATAAGGCTCACTTATTCGAATTATCTTGGAACACACGACAACGCGCTCGGAAATTCTCGCAAACAGAAATAACTTTTTTAGTTTTTTTTTGTAAATTGTTCATTGATTGGTCTTTAAACGCTTTAAACGTTGAACGCCTATTTTGAACACCTAAAGCAAAAAAAATCTACAAAAGAAACGCAAGAAAAAAAACCATTCGCGGGGTCAGAGGCGAAGTTGCGCTTCACGGATACGCTTCATACCCCAAAACCAGGGTCTATAAAAAGGACACCTATTAGAAAAAAAGCGAGCACCACGCTTCCAGAAAAACGAGGCCTTTTCGTGGAAATCGTTTCGAGGAACAGTTTTGAGTACAGAAACATGTGCTGTCGAAATGATAAACGATACAATCAGATGGCTGCACTTTGTTATCTTTAACTTTTCGAACTTCAAAAAAACCGCAGTGAAACATCTGTTGCACAATCCATATGGTACTAATACTCATAGCCAGTGCGGAAGACAAAACTTCAAGCTTATAGGCGAGGAAGTACAAAAAATCAAAAAAACAAACCGTACAAAAAATCAAAAAGAAGAACCGCTGAGGAAAAAAAAGCAGTTATCCTCATGTCTCATAAATGAATACGCTCACCTGGAACCAACCGTAACTCAATTGTACTATGGGGGCGCAATCGGCATGACATCATACGAATAGTTATCCTATGACGTGTAAGAACAATGATGAGGAATCGCGTCTTGAAGTGCGTTCATTCTTCACGATTTGGTCGCTAAGCGCTCGTCCGGAGCCGAGGCGCTCCAACTAATCCGTGGAATTCCGCAACGGCTAGTTAGACTACATTCGGAATGAAAAATTTTCGTCCTCTTTCTTCGTGTTTACCTCTTATCAAGAAGACGCCTGCCAGGCAGGATTTCACGTTAACCGCTCAAAGAAAACCCCGCGATTGCACATTGTGGATAAAGGCGTTCAATTAGGGACAATAGTCGCTCAATAACAGAACTGCTCGTTTTATGTCAGCAAGGGGACATCCTGCCACCTCTGACTCATTAATCGTTTCTTCTCGTCACGCAGAGGTGATACTAGTAACAGTATAAAAATGTGAAACACATGGTTCAAAAGTGACAGCTAACAGAAAATAACCTTTGAGTTCTGATGGGCGGGACAACTAGGAAGGCGTCAGGACTGCCACTTATGAGAGCTGCACCGCCTTCGTCACTTAGTGTGAAGCCAAAAAAACGGGATAATCTCAGAGACTGCGAATCAGACTACTTCTACAAGGAGGGACGAATCGGATTGCTTGAGCGCAGGACTACTTTAGGAACAAACTGTGATAGCACGTTTACATCAATTACTATCACTACCGTGCAAGTAGAAGCAAAGAGAAAACAAAGAAAAAAAATAAAACCGGACAATTTGTCGCAAAAGTCCTTGTCGCGATCCACCGATTAGCGGCGGAGCGCCTCTGGTTTCGCGCGAT